TGCATGTTTCTGGTCTGTGGGAGAAAACCCACACAGCATGGAGAGAACATGCAAACTCCAGCCAGAAATGTCCTGGGATGGGATTTGAACAAGTGACCTTCTCGCTGAGAGGCAGTGGCTCTACCAACTGCACCACCATGCCACCTAAGTAAGTTTAATAATCTCTAATATAGAATGTTTAAGGGGCAAACATAAACTTTGGGTGATCCCTTCTGAAGCTCTTCTTTTCTCACTTCATTCAGAGGCGTTTCCAACAACATTTTGACCTACGTTATAATATCAAAAACAGGGCACATGTGGCCAGAGGGGAAAAAAATCTTATGCAATTTTTACTGTTGGTAGAGCAGAGCTCAAGCGGTGGTGCTGTGGAAACCATCACAGAACACCGTCCCCCACCTGGGAAATTGATCACAACCACTTCAGATAGGAGGCAACTTAAGGTTTCTTTTTGATTTCTCGTACTTTAACTTTCCTTCATTCCTCCAGTGGGCTGCTGTACAGGAGGTGTTAAGTTGAACTCAGAAGTTCTTCAAAAGAAGGAAAAAGTTTTTAGCAATGTGCAAACAGGAGCAGCGTGGCTAATTGTCAAGTGGCGTGACAGCTGAGGATGAGGATTCAGAACGAACAGAGGGAGTGAAGCACGGCGAGAGAATTTTAAAGAGCTGCTGAATAACAAGATGCTCCTATAAAAACACAAACACACATCAAAACTAAGACTAGAAAACATGAGAGTAAAGAAGAGTGCATTGCAGGGTGGGAGTTAAAGAAATGTTTCAGTTTCTAGTCTTAGAATAAACTCTGGGGCATTTTGAAAACCTATTTAGTACCCACCTGTTTCAGCTGAGGGAAGTGTGGAAAAGAGAGGCGCTGGCAGTCTTATTCCATGCCTCGTTCTCTCTTTCCAAGAGGGAGCTGCAGCGTTGCTGCTGCCTTAAGCCCCTGTAGTGAGGCTGACACTCATCCACTTTCAGCCTGTTCCACTGACTGTCACAGCAGCTGTCAATCAGCCGCTATCTACCTGGAAGCCCGAGGGCAACCGGAGAGAGGCAAGAGTGAGGAGGGCGGCGGTTAGAGATGATGTTTAAGGGGTGAAACGAAGCGGGGGATTGAAGAAAAAGCTGAAGAAAAGAGAAAGTCAGCTGAGGTCAGGCATTCTCAGCTGCCAGATACATGCTGTATCTAGAATCTTATTATTTCCATATCATTAAACACAGAGACAGAAGACAGAAAACTCAACCCCCACAAAAAGCAGAACTGCTTTTCATGTTGGCCTCCTTTGATCACCTTCTGGCTTTTGGCAATAAGGTGGAGACGAAGAGAAGACATAGCAAGTAAGTAGCTGAGGGAGGAGTGGGAAGCTCTTTTGACAACCTCTTTCAACATATTTTCTCCCCCTCCCCCACCAAATATATTCCTCTACCTCCAAAAACTCTGATCTGACAAGATACCCCAGCATTAAGACTGGCAACGGTGCAAAACGCCTGTCCAAAGTACTCACCGAGCGCACCTAAAAGGCAGCACACAATGAAGACTATTAGCCGTCACAGGAGAGTGCTGGCAGCACTAACACAGACAATTAATACGAGCCTTGCAATGCTGTGACACTAATCCACGACTACAGCAATGATTTTTTTAATATTCAACTAAAAATGGCAAACAAAGTCTCAAAACAAATGGAATTTGTGCATTCATGGGGTACTCCAGTTTTCTCCCAACATGCATATTAGGCTGACTGGTAACTCTAAATTGTCCCTAGGTGAGAGAGAGAGAGAGAGAGAGAGAGAGAGAGAGAGAGAGAGAGAGAG